TTTTAAGATATTGCAAGTTTTTTTCAAGAGAATTTGGTACAAGTGATCGCCGGAAAGAGTTAGTGATTTGCGTCCAAAAAAATATAATTAATAATAATAAAGACATAAATTTAAATATAATGGTTATTTATGATTCATATTGAGAAACATAATATTTTCATAGAGTTGATGGTATTGCATATTATATACATTATATTGAGGTTCGTTATTAATAACGTTAGAAAAATTATTAGAATTATTAATTTCTGATTTTTTTTAATATTCGTTAATTTTATCATTATCAAAAACCTTTTTATTTTTTTCTTTAGTATTACCACTTTCATAAATGAAATTATCGTTATTTTTAATGATATTAAATTCAGGTAATTGATATTTAGGCCACAATTGATAAAATTTTTCTTCAGCTATTTTCGCAAGATTTTTGTATTCATTTTTCACAAATTCTGGTCATTATGCCAAGAATGAGCAATTATAGTCAAGATATCTGTCATTTTTGGAATAATTTGAATTTGTTTCTTAAGTTTAGCATTGTAAATTTTACGATAAATTATAAAGGAGTTAGGTGGTTTTTTAGGGTTTTCTCTATTTCGTTTCTTTCTGAATAAATCGTTATAATTTAAGGATGGTGGGAATGGTAATTCGATATACAGTTTTTTTTCACTTTCTTCATTTTTATAAAAAATCACGTTCATTGTTACGATAAATTTTTATATTTTTTTTCAAATCTCTTTTATAACTTTATTCATTAATAATTAAAATAGTCAATTATTAATATTTCCTTTTTTAAAATTTCTAGAAATTTGAAATTAATTTTGTTAATAATTGTTATACATTCTCAATTATTAATTATATATTTATTTATAAATATAATATTTTTTTAATGATTTTATTATAATAAAATTCAATATGTATCCTTCTGAATTAATGATTAATATATTTTGTTATCTTTATGAAATGAACGAATCATTATTTAATTGTATCCTAGTTTCCAGATATTGGGCTAGAAATGCAATACCGATATTATGGCAAGATCCATTAAGGAATCGTAAACTAGAGGAAGATGATGATTCGAGATATGATTCGTTTAAAAAGATTGTTTATTTTGAATTATGTAAAAATAAATATATTGAACAAGAACTTTTATTTGAGAGATATTCTGACATGTTATTTCCGTATCTTCAATATGTGAGAAAGATACACATTACTAAAATATATACATTATTCCATCATGACAAAAATGAAAAAGAAATAATTAAATCATTATTTAAATTATCAGATACAATTAATTACATTTCTATTTCTTACATGTTTTTAGATAAATTTATTGTTTCTATCTTAAATGAATATATGATAAATCATAAAATTTATTTAGATCTAGATAATGTAGATTTAGATACAACAAATTTTCTAACAAGATTTAATTTCAAAGGTTTAAGATTATCAGAACTAGATTTTGAAGAGATTGAATTTTTTTTTGATAATATTTTAAATATAACAGATTTAGAATTAAAAGATATTAAATTTATAACAAAATTTCATATCGTTAAATTAGTTGATTTGAAATATTTTTCATTGATTGATATGAATATTGATAATGACAGTATTTTATTTATGATAAAGGAATTAAGAAAATTATCATATTTAAAAATATCTTATTCTTTATATAAATATAAAAAATATGATTAAAGTGATTTGGTAAGAGAATCAATTAAACATAAAAATATAAAAATGTTAGAATTGGGAAGAGAAGGTGAAACACAAATATTTATCATAGAATCATCTTTAAATTTAGCTATCATTTATTAAAGAAATAAATTTATAAATAAAAATTAATCAAATAAATACATGATTTTTTATTTAAATTAAATTATAATATGAAAAAGAATAAATATTAAGAAGTTAAGATTTTCCACAATTTTTGATGTTCGTTAATTTTTGTCTTGTGATTACAATCATATATTTGTTGTCTTTTTAACGAATTATTTAAAAGTTTAGAAAAATTTTCACGTTCAAAAAAATCTATATTTTTGTATTTTTTACTCAATGTTTCAATAATATCATCAGTAATATCTCTTTTTCGTTTATTGCAATTGTTATTATTTGATATTTTTATAATTTTTCGAGGTTGAGGTTTGTTTTGAAAAATAGAAAACATTTTATTTATAATTTAAAGTTTATTTACAAAGGTATTTTATATTCCATTTCATCAATAATATGAATTACTAATAAATAAAATTTAAGTAAATTATCTGTTCCAAAAAAATATTTTTTTTTATGTGATGCAGTAAAAAATATGACGTTTTGTAAAAAAAATTTAAATATTTATATGAAAAAATTTTTAAAAAAATTACAAAACGTCACAAATTTAACAACAATGATTTATTACTAAATGTATCAAACAATTATTAATTTCTTTTCACATGATCAAAATTTAATAATTAATTTCGTTAGTTAAAATATCATATGACAAATAATTGATCAAATACAAAATTCATAATTTATTACATAATTTTATTTTTAAATTTTATTAATCATATAAATATTTATTTTATGTGTTGAATAAAATATCGTGCGTTTGTTTATTAATAATAAAAATAATCAAATTCATCATTTATTTGATTTTGAAATTTGTTAAAATAATATTCTGGAGAGTAAAGTATAGTAGAATCATATGTGATATATTCAGGAACGAAAAAAAATTTATTTTCAAAGGTTTTATTTTCAATATGTTTATCATCGAATTTATCATTATCAATAATATTAATTTTAGGATAATTTTTTTTTAATTGTTTTAAATTATCGAGTTTTTCTACATTAATTTTATTAGAAATAGATTTTTTAACTTTAAACCGATTATTGTATTCAGGCCATAATTTTTCATATTGTTTTTTTGCTGCAGACACAATATTTGCATATGTTTCTTTAACACATTCTGGTTCTTCTTTCCAACGTTGAGAGATTATAGGTGATATTTTAGTCATTGGTGGAACTCTACCATATTTTAATTTAAATTCTCTGACAAACATTTTACGATAATATATAAAAGAACTAGATATTCTTAATGGCTTTTCTCCATTTTCTTTAAAATTAACTAATTCATTTTCGCTTATAGATGGTGGAAATGTTGGTCTAAAATCATTTGGTGTAATAATTCCCATAAAATTATCCTGATTAT